CTCTGCAACCCAAGCTCCAACGGAGCCGTTTAGGGTTTAGGGTTTAGGGGTTTAGGGTTTAGGGTTTAGGGGTTCAGGGGTTTAGAGGCTTAGGGGTTTAGGGGTTTAGGGGTTTAGGGGTTAAGGGTTAAGGGTTAAGGGTTTAGGGTTTACGGTTTAGGAGTTTAGGGTTTAGGGTTTAATCCCATGAACCCCTAACCCTAAACCCCTGAACCCTAAAAACCGTAACCCACGTACAGACTACGGTGGGACTCTGACTTCGGGGCTTAGTTCAGGGCCGAATTGGGAGCACTTCAGGACAAAGGCTTAGGGTTGAGGGTTGAGGGTTTTGTAAGGTTTAGGGTTTCGGGGCTTGAGGGCTTAGAGGCTGAGTCGTTCCATTCCCGGAAAGCATTCGTAAGAGAAAGCTGGAGCCAAAGTGCTGCCGTCCTTGACCTATCACAGAGTCAACTGATGCATCATGGTCATCATGCCATAACAGTCGTAAGTAGCATCATCAGGCCCACCACCAGCATCCGCAATATGGGGACCAGTCGTTATAACACAACGACTTGGGACCCTAAACCCTAAACCCTAAACCCAAAGCTGAGCCGGAGATTAACGAAGCCTGAAGCCATTGAGTTTCCTTACTTCAGAGTAAGCACAACATCTCAGTGTCAAGCTCGCGAAGCACCGCAAACCTAGCCAAGGGTTCAGGGTTAGGGGGTTCAAGGGTTCAGGTGCTTTATAGAGGCCTCAGAATAACACGGCACTCCAATTCTGTATCTTAAACCCTGCAGGTTCAACCTGCACGTAGCCCTGAATCAGCCGTTTTCTTGCCTTAGGCACGAACCAGCGCACTGCATATCTGGACTGCATGCTTACTGCTCTTTGAAACAACCATGGAAGATTCGAAAGGTACCGTTGACAAATGTCAGGGCCTTGTGGTTGGCCTCATATTTCTTTATCGGTACCTCTGCGAAACAGCACTAAGACTTTCTTCGCAGGTTCCACTCAGCCGAATCGCATCGAGCGTAGCATATCGTACTATGAAGACCGGCCAACTGGCCAAAATTATTCCTAGGGTTCCTCATGCTGACTATACTAGACTGTACCTCAAAACCCTGGATACACTGTTGCCGTCAACCCTTATAGTAGATGTCTTATAGAACCCTTCGTGGAAGCCTTTAAAGGAACCCCTAAACCCTATTCTAATGGTTAAGGCCCCTATACTACTCGCAAAAACGAATGAAACGCGGCCTAAGGACTTCGGTGGAGGCCATTGCTAACTGGGTGGTTGTCAAAATGATGGTCCCTTTTTGGGTCCTTAGTATAATACGGCACCTATTATTTAGGGTACCCCAAAAGGGACCATAATTTTGACAACTACCCAACTGAGCATCCAAAAGCCCCCTGGCCATGGTTCTTAATGCGGTAATGTAGGGCCTTACCAATTAGAATGTGATTTTGGGGGCCCAATCTACTCTAACTATAATAAGGAGTCCCCAAAACAGTATAGGTAACTATCAAGGCCCCTATATTACTTGGAGGTTCATGGGCAGTTATAAGTGGGGCTATAAGTCTCAATAAGGGTTCATGTAGGGGTCTTAATGATTAGAATCGGGTTTTGGGCTCCTTTATAGTTGAAAAGAAAACGGAACCCTACTAAGGAATACCAGTATAGTATTAGTAATTATGTAGGTTTCTATCTTGTCTTGTAGTAAGGCCCTGAGGCTTGGTGTCAGGGCCCGTGTTAGCCCTGGTATTGGGAACCTCATCTTCATCGCTAAATTCAGGAGATCAAGCTCCTAGATTACATCGAGTTTTACGGATTAGGGTTTAGGGTTTAGGATTTGAAGATGATGATTTCCGGTTCATTGGCTCAAACAAGAGATCCATAGCTCCGGTGGCTACAGCCCGCGTTTGCTTAGCACCGACACCTATAAGGAGTGTTTGACGGTGTTTGTAGTATTTTGAAATTATGGGCTTGTGCCTCCGAAATAATATTCGTGCAACTCTTGGGAGTTCTTCCAAAGTGCTGCGCATGCATTACGCTTGTCGACAGGTTCGTGTGATGGCTCAGTTCTGATAATGATACAGCGTTGCGGTACCTTGAAAGTTTCGGGCTTCTGGTGAAGGGTTGAGACTACTACTCCTTGGGGCTCCTTACTATACTTGCATCGGAATACAACCTACCCACAAAATCCTACTTTAATTATTCAGGCTTCAATTTCAAGTCCCTGCATGAATCCTCTCTGTATCTCTCTCTCTCTCTATATATACATATCAATATATACACATATCATATACCGTTAAAAAGAAACCAGTCCTAGTTTTTGACGACCCCTAACCGTAAACCCCAAACCCCAAACCCTATGCACCTTAAAAACCCTAAAACCTCTACACCCCTAAAGCGCTAAACCCTGAACCCAAAGGTCAAGCCCCCATATTAACTTCAAGGTGAAAGGAACCGAGGCAGTCAGCCGAGCCGGATCTAGAAGCTTCTCCAAAGCAGCTATAGTAGCCGTCGTACGGTAGTACTAAGTATTGGTGCTTTTCTTTCTTTGGGCGTTAGGGTTAGGGCTTTAGGGGTTTGGGCTTTCGGGTATGTTTAGGGGTCGGTGGTTCAGGGTGTTAGTGTTCAGGGGTTTAGAAGTTGAGGTATTTGGGAATTGAGGGTTTGGGGTTTAATATCACGAAAATTGTCATTGACATTGTAATGATTAATTTCTGAATAAGCTATCATTAGCATGGTTGTGGTTATGATTATG